TATTTCCCTATATATACAGCAAGGAGCACTGATGATGACTCATTCGGAATCGAAATATGGCCTTATTAGCAGCATGAATTCGAAAATTAAGTTTATTTTGAATTTTAATAAACTAAACGTTCACCAAAAAACTTTAGTGAGAAAAATCGAAAAAACGAACTACAAACATATTAACGCCAAACATTCGGTAGAATTTATAGAATATTGTTTATATATACATATATACATATATATATACATATATAAATATGTGTGTGTGTATGTACTTATGTATGTAGGTGTGTGTATGTGTGCGTATGTATGTATGTATGTATATATGTATGTATGTATGTATGTATGTATGTATGTATGTATGTATATGTGCTAAGTTAGCCTTGAAGCAGTATCAATATTGAGAATGTCAATTCATTGCTTTGTACAGGTGATGCGAGAAAATTGCGCGCACATTTGTGCACAAGAACACACACACACACACACACACACACACACACACACACACACACACACATACATACATACATACATACGTACATACATACATACATACATACATACATACATACATACATACATACATACATACATACATACATACATACATACATACATACATACGTACATACATACATACATACATACATACATACATACATACATACATACTTACATACACATACATACATACAAATATACACACATCATTTTGACAAGCGGCTTAACAGTTACTCAACTAATTCTTCATGCTTAAACGTGCCCATGTATGTACGTATGTGTATTTATATATGTGTAGTTATATATGTATGTATGTATTTATGCATGTATGTATGTATGTATGTATGTATGTATGTATGTATGGATGTATATATGTATGTATGTATGTATGTATGTATGGATGTATATATGTATGTATGGATGTATGTATGTATGCATGTATTAGTTTGCCTCCAAGGCAAATAAATTCTAAATTTAATGGAAATGATGAATGAATGGATGAATGAATGGATGAATGAATGGATGAATGAATGGATGAATGAATGGATGAATGAATGGATGAATTGATGATATTATGAATGGATGGTGGACAGATGAATGGATGGACCGATAGATCAATGAATAAGTGAGAGTGATTGAATGAATAAATAAACGAGCGAATTAATAGAGTTGACAAAAAAAAATATGGACACTTATAAGAGTCAGACATCAACTTTCCCCTTTTTTTAAAAGTTTCACTATCATCATCATCACCATCGACAGCATCATCATTATCATCACCCACACCAATCATCACCATCATCATCATCATCGTTATCGGCATCATTATCATCACCATCAGCCACGTCATCGTCGTGGTCGTCGTGACAACAAATTACGCAACGGAAGAGACATGTAACTGGTAATTAAATGTAACCAAAGAACTTGAAATAAAAATAATAACAACAACAATAATAACAATAATAACAACAATAATAACAATAACATTAATGTCAGTAATGATTTCTTTCACAATTTTATTTATATTAATCAGAAATTGTTATGATAAAATAGAACGATAAGAATAAAGACGACCGAATATTTGTTAAAATAATTTATTATATTCAAGTTATTTGTAACAAAATATATATCAAAATACATATATAATTATTTGAATAATTTATAAAATCCTTTTGTCATTGTCCGTATTATGAAGAGTTTTATTTCATATGCAAACTTTTGATTCTCTATACTGTTCACCGTGTTGTTGTTGTTGCTGCTGCTGTTGTAGAAGCTGCTGCTGCTGCTGTTGTGGTTGTTGTAAGTTTGATTGTGAGTTGTTAGACTTGAGAGTGAGAGATTTGAAAAAAGCTCTGACTGGTTTTACTGGTGCAGTAGTCGTTGCTGTGGTAGTTGCTGTAGTAATGGAGGTAGTAGTAGCAGCAGCAGTAATAGTAGCAGCTGCAGCAGTAGTAGTGTTAGTAGTAGTGGAAGTAGCAGTAGTAGCGGCAGTAGTAGCAGTATCAATTGTTTGGTTGTCGTCGTGGTCCATATCGTATTCTTCCGAACTTAGAGTGAAAAATGATCTTCTTCCACCAATGCCGTTAGAATCATCATTTCTTTTAATGTTTTTCTTTTTGTGGCTACTGCTATTATTGTTATTATTACTATTATTATTGTTGTTGTTATTATTGCTACTATTATTCGTCTCCGAAAATTTATTTTCAGTTTTTCCCATTCCATCTTTCGTAGTGTCGCAACTTTTTTCCTCCACTGCGTTTTTACCAGCATCAGATTTGTCAGCAGTTACCGTGTTGTCGTCGTCATCTCTCACATAGTTTTCATTTTCGACATTTTTGCCGGCAGTTTTGTCAAAATTGTTGTCAATGGCGATTTTCTTCTGCCCTCTTCTGGCTGGTCTTCTCTCGGACAAAGTAGCAAAAGTAAGTTTTGAAAATTCTCTTCTTTTGAGGCCAACTTCTTCATCCTCATCGTCATCGTCGTCAACATCAACAAATCCTAAATTATTTTTTTCACTGATTCCAGCTGAGTTAGTAGTACCCCTAACCCCAGTGACGCTATCTTTCGGAAATTCTTTAAGTTTAAATTTTCTTTTACTAGTCAGGTGCAATTTATTTTTCCACTTCGTGATGCTGAAGACGTTTCTCATGCTCTGGCTTTTACGGAGAAAGCTTGCTTTGGCACCTCCTTTCTTCTTCTTCGTCGTCATTGAAGATGAGTGGTGGGGCTGTGGTTCAAATGCAGACGAAGACGTTGACGGGAATGGTGATGTTGAATGGGCAGATGATGACGATGTTGTTGGGAATGATGATGTCGGAAAAGATGATGATGATGATGATGGATATCGTTGTTGTTGTTGTGATGGTGGTGGAGGTGATGGAGCTCTATGTTTCATTCTAGCTGGTTTCATCGGAGGAATGAGTGCTGCTGTGTTTCTGTTGTTGTTGCTGCTGCTGTTGCTGCTCGTCTTGATGTCGCCGTCAATTTTTTTAAAGTTTTCATGACAATCTGCGCTTACAACATCCACATTCTTTTCATTTTTATTTGTCACATTTTTTTCAGCTTCTTCAGATTTTGTTTTTCCTCCATCACCATATCTTTCATCCTTCACTAACTTACTGTTGCTCCGGTGGATGTTCTTTGAGGTGTCGTGAAACCTTCCGCCAGAGCTGCGCCTACCATCCTCAAAGTCAGCGGCTACTTTTTTCAAAGAAGATGCCTTCTTCAATTTCACTTTCTCTGATTTTTCACTTTTTGAAGAAGTTTTTGACAAAGGTTTTTCACTGACTTTGTGATTATTAAATTTGTCGTCATTGTCGCCGTCGCCACTTTTGCGACCACTGTCAAAACTCTTTCGCTTCCTAGATCCCTCATAAATATTGCTACGCCTTTTAAACATTGTGTTCTCAGTATCGCTGTGAAATCCAAAATCATCATCATCATCATCGATACTTTTTCCTACATAACTACGTCGATATTCATGATAACGATCTCTGTAGCGATTGTGATGATGAAATCTGTCGGACATTTTGTCTTTCAGGTTGGACATTTCGTCTGCTATCCTCCTTCCGGCAGAAGAAATAGCGATGTGCAGTGAGGATTTTTTAAAATTTGGGAATTTAAATTTATGAGGCGCAATTTTATTAGTGGACGTTGAATGTTTTTTTGAGAAACTGCTGCTGCCGCTGCTGTCAGGATGCTTCGTCGATATATTCCACTCAGATTGAAACGGTTTCAGAAGTTCACTTTTCATCATGTGTGAACGCTTTTCCGGTTTTGGCGTGGACGGTTTTTGCCGGAGGATTGACTTTAGTGGTTGTAGTTGTTGTTGCTGCTGCTGCTGCTGTGGCTGTTGTGGTTGCTGTTGAGTATATTTTTGAATTATCGCTTCTAATCTGTCGTCTTCAGAAAATTCGTCCATGCGTGAATTATTATTATTGTTGTTGTTATTATTATTTTTATTATTGTTATTGTCTCCATTATCATTGTTGCTATTGTTTTGGTTATTGTTTCCATCACCGTTTTTGTTGTCATCATCAACTATGACGTCATCGCTAACGTTTTTATAGTTGTTGTTGCTGTTGTCGTTGTTGTTGTTGTTGTTGTTGTCGATGACTTTTATATCCGTATCTATAACATCAGTCTTATCAACATCACTACCGCAATTATTATTATTATTGCTGTTATTATTAATATTGCTGTTATTATTGTTATTATTATTATTATTATTATTATTATTGTTATTGTTATTATTATTATTGTTATTATTAATGTCGTTATTGTTATTGCCACTGTTTTCTCCAGCTACTTCAACAAACTGCACTCTGAGCCTAGAAGAATTTTCATTGGCCTTTATCGCATTCGAAACATCATCATCATTATTTTTATTATTATTGTTATTATTATTATTATCATTATTTGTAATAGGACTATTACTACTACTACAAGATTTATTTTCAGCAGTAGAAGGAATAGCAGTAGCAGTGGTAGTGGCTGTTGTTGTCATGGTAGATGGGATAGTATTAAAAATATTAGCGTCGACAGAGTTATTATCCTCATCATCATCATCATTATTATTATTATCAGAAATAGTAGTAGTAGTAGTAGTAGTAGCCACAGTAGTAACAGAAGCCGCTGTAGCAGCAACAGCAGTAGTAGCATCAATGTCATCACCCGTCTTTTCGACTATATTAGTTTCATCTTTAATAACACCAAGATCGTCAGCAAACCCTGTCCCAGTAGCTACACCATCCAGACTAGAAGCGTTTACTACATCTGTAGCTGCAGTAGTAGTATTGTTTTCATTGTTACTGGTACTACAATTAGTGTTAGTATTATTAGTTGCACAAGTTGCAGTCACAATCCCTCTAGAACCATGATACAAAGTTGAAATATTACCATCCGAAGTTATGACACTATTATCATTAGAAGCAGTAAGAGTAGTAGTAACTAGAGCAACTGCTGTAGTAGTAGCTGTAGAAGTAGCAGTAGTACTCACCACAGCTGCTGCTGTAGTAGCAGTACTTGTGGCCATTGAAGCAATATTGGCAGTAGACAAAGCAGTATTACTTAGGCTAGTAGCGTTAGCGTTAAGGTCTGATAACGTTGAAACGTGTGATGATGGGGTTGGGATGGAAAAGCGCTTCGTCACAAAGTCACCACCGTCCATTGGCGTCTTCTGCTGGCATAATTTTTTGAAATAATTTTTATATTATTTCATTAATAATAATAATGGGAACAGATCTTTTATTTTTCATCAAATGCGTAAAGTCAATAATTAGTTAATTAATAGAAAAATAGTGATGATTAAAATAAAATTAAATTAAAATAAAATTTAAATAAAATCATAATCATCATAAATAGTCATCATTGCTCTTTATTTAAAATGAAATAAGTACAGTGATGATAAGATAGTTATGAAAATTGATTCACGCATTGTTCCGATCACAATATATGGCATATGATAATAATAATAATAATGGTAATAATAATATTAACCTTTTTCTTGCCGAACTTGTTAAACAGTTTTCTAAAGCCTTTTTCTCTGTGGTTTTCATCAAAGTACATGTATACATTATTATTATTTATTATTTATTAATAATAACAATAAAAGAAATAACAAAAATATAATTGATGATAATAATAGTAATAATAATGACAGTGACGTCATAATTATTATTATAATGTTAAATACTTTTTTTTCGCTAGTTGCTGACTCAGTGATTGCTCCAATATGTAGGCCTCCATCTTATCTCTAGACTGACTCATGTTCGATAGCTCCTCCCTGAAGCAATAATAATATTTAATAATTAATAATAATAATAATAATCAATAACAATAATAATAAATAATAATAATAATTAATAATATTATATTGAAAACTAGGATGAAGAAGCTACTGAAAGATCCGAAGATGATGACGATGATAATAAAAATATTAAAAAATGATGATGATGGTAATAACAATATTAATAAATGATAAATAATAATAATAAAAATGAAAATAATAACAAACATAAAATGTCTCTGTGTTTCAGCCTGGTGTTCCTTATTTGTTAGCAGGTTGATGAGTAACTCGTGGTTCTGCTGCATTGCATTCGATAGCTGACTCAACAATTTGACATTCTCATCCTCAACTTTCTCACAAACTTTTGTTATTGCCTGTACGTGTGTGTGTGTGTTTGTGTGTGCGTGTGTATGTGTGTGTATGTGTATATGTGTGTGTGTGCGTGTGTGTTTGTGTGTGTGTGTAATAATTTAACAAAGTAACCAAACAACCTCATGTTGAGACAGAACCCTGTTGTTCTCGACGTACAAACCGTTGATTTTTTCTTGAGATACCTTCAGTCTATCATTTAATTCGTTTTCCGTCGTTTTTAGAAGTTTTAACGTCTCGGATATTTGGGCCAGTTCAAAGGTCAAGGCTTGGTTTTGTTGTTTGACCTCGTGTAGGCTGTTGCGAAGTGAGGTTAGATCTCTTTCGTATTGTGATCTGTGAAAAATTTTGGCAGATTTAAAAAAAAATAATTCATTCACTCATTCATTCATTCATTCACTCAATCATTTAGTAATTCATTTATCCAATTATCATTCATTTATTTATTCATTCATTCATTCGTCATTGAATTTATCACAATTCATCAGCATACATCTTATTTTGTTGGTCAGTTTTCGTTGCATCAGCATCTTTGGTCATGTTAAATATTATCTTTGTTTTTTCTACTATTTCCTGAAATAATAAAAATAATAATAAACATTAATAATAATAATAATAATAATAAACAATAATAATAATTATTATTATTACCATCGTCATCGTTATCACAACTCACCCTCTCCAAAGTTACTATCAGTTCGTTCTTTAAATTCAAAATTCCATTTAACTTGTTAACCTCACTTTTCAACTTTCTCACTATCTCTCTATTTTTTCTCTTCATCATCGTCATTTCCGCCGTCGTCGTCGTCGACGATGACGTCATCGATTCATCCTTTTCCGGTGTTGTTTTTAATTTAGTTCGATCTTCGCTAGAAATGATGTCGTTTTTATTTTTGTTATTGTTATCGGTATCGTTATCGGCAGCAGTTGTAGCAGCAGTTGTAGTAGCAGTTGTAGTAATAGCAGTAGCAACAGTAGTAGTGGTAGTCGTGGTAGTAGTAGTAGTAGAAGTAGCATCATTATCAAGACCGATGATGACGCCGCAAATCGAAAGCTTCCTATTGGCTGTCGCCGTATCATTTACATATTCATTTATGTTAATGAGCTCGCATTCGCGATTAAAGCTAGTGTCCGATACGTCAATGCGACTACTATCATCATCATCTTCTTCTTCTTCATCATCTTCATCATCGTCGTCATCATCATCTTCAGCTCCGATTATTAAGAAATTTTTTTCGATGCTTTTATCATGAATAACATCGTCATCATCATCGTCATCATCATCGTCATCATCATCGTCATCATTATTAGTTTTAAGAGTTCCATTATCATCGTTGTTATCACTTGACGTATTATCATCTAAACTATCGTTATTAGCATGGTTGGCATCGTCATCATCATCGTCATCATCATCGTCTTCATCATCCTTTCCGAATATTGAAATTAATTTCATCTCAGTTATCGACTGCTTTCTAGCCTGAAGTGGGATTTCTAGAAGATTCGAAGATGATGATGAGGACGATGATGATGAAGCAGGCAATGATGATGATGATAAAGCAGGCGATGATGATGATGATGGTGATGACGATGTTGATGACGATGGAAAAAAGAATGATGATGATGATGATGAAGATGGCGGTGATGGATGACGACAACAATGATGGTGATAATATCAATGATAATTATGATTTTCAATTTTTATACTTAGTGCCATCACCATCATCATCATCATCACCACCATCATCACCATCATCACCATCATCATCATCATCATCATCATCATCATCATCATCATCATCATCATAGTCGGGAACAAACCATGCAATGATAAATCGTTATTTTCTCTTGCCCTAGCGTGCAAACTTCTGTTCACTTCTTGAAGTTTCATTCTTTCATTTTCTAATTCTTTCAGTCGCTCTCTATTCATTGCGTCGACCTATTTTAACATTATCATCATCATCATTACCATCATTATCACCATCATCATCATCATCATCATCATCAAATCATTATCAACATCATTACTTCTAATAGTTTGAAAATGTCTTTCTGTAAATCATAATTGGCAGTCTTGTACTCCTTCATCAACTTCTCGCACTTTCTTTCCATCTCTGTGACCTCATTTCTCAACTCCTGATTAGTCCGATCTTGATTTTCTATTTTTAGATCAGCTGACGTGGATTGGTTTTTCCAGTAATCGATTTCCTTTAGTTTCACTTTAAGAGTTTCGTTTTCGTCTTCTAATATTCGCAGCTATAACGGAGACAGACGATGGATTTGTGATGAGTGAACCAGTGAAAGAAAGAACGAACAAACAAACGAACGAACGAACGAACAACCAAACAAACAAACGACGAACGAACGAATGAACGAACAAATGAATTATTAATCAGCATTAATTTTCATGATTTAAAAAAATTATTAATCCTAAATACAAATAACTATCAGCATATTCAACCAAATTACTTTCATAATCATTTCCTCTTTGTGTAACTTGGCCTCATTTAATTCCTCTGTTAACGTAGCATTCTGAAATAGAGACGAGAGTAACGATGATAATGATGATAAAAATGATGATGATGATGATAAAAATGATGATGACGACGATGATGGTAGCTATAGTAATGATTGTGATAAACCTGAAGTTCTAGATCCTTCACTCTATCTTTGTACTCCTCCACATATCCAGATACTATAAACAGCTGTTTATTTTTTTCGTCTCTTTAATGAAATTTTAAATTAAATTGAATTAAATTGATTTATTTAATTTATTCATTTAAAAATTGATTTATTTATCTGTAGTTTAATTAAACTACATTCATTTATTCGTTTGCCGCTCGTTCTTTCATTCATTCATTCGTTAGTTTGTTTGGTCATATGTTAGTATTTCCGCGTTTCTTTCATCCATTTCTTTGTTTATTTCTTTTCATTTCTTCTGTTCTTTCGTTTATTCAATCAATCAATCAATCAATCAATCAATCAATCAATCAATCAATCAATCAATCAATCAATCAATCAATCAATCAATCAATCAATCAATCAATCAATCAATCAATCAATCAATCAATCAATCAATCAATCAATCAATCAATCAATCAATCAATCAATCAATCAATCAATCAATCAATCAATCAATCAATCAATCAATCAATCAATCAATCAATCAATCAATCAATCAATCAATCAATCAATCAATCAATCAATCAATCAATCAATCAATCAATCAATCAATCAATCAATCAATCAATCAATCAATCAATCAATCAATCAATCAATCAATCATTCATTCATTCATTTATTCATTCGTTCGTTCGTTCGTTCGCTCGTTCATTCGTTCGTTCGTTCATTCATTCATTCGTTCATTCGTTCGATCAATCGATGGATCATATAAACAGTACATAGTCATCTATCTAAAACGCCCCAGCAAACTTTAAAACGTAAACAACTACAATAGAAATATAACAGCCACTATGAGACAATAATAATAATAATAATAATAATAATAATAAGAAGAAGAAGAAGAAGAAGAAGAAGAAAAAGAAGAAGAAGGAGAAGTAGAAGAATAACAACAATCATCACCATCATCAATCTAATCATTAAACCAGTTGTTGTACTAACAAAAGTAGCTGTAATAGTTCACCGTTACTGTCGTTGTGTCTATTATTATTATTATTACTACTACTATTACTACTACTACTACTACTACTACTATTACTACTACTACTATTACTACTACTACTAATTGTATTTGGCATAGTCCTAGATTCATAAATAGTATTGTTGTTGGTATTAGCAATACTCTCAGTAGTATTAGTAGTAGCGTCTGTAGTAGCGACAGCAGCCGTAGTAGCTGTGGTAAAAGTCGTTGTAGTAGCGGTAGTAGTAGTTGTTGTTGAGTTGTTGACGTCATCGACGTATTTTGTTGATGTTTTGTTGTTTCTATTCTGGTATAAACACCTCAGTTCGTTCACTTGCTGGTTGAAATGTGTTTGTATGTTTGTGTATGCTTTGTTCGTTTGTATGTTTGTATGTTTGTCCGTTTGTACATGTGTGTGTTTGCTTGTGTGTGTATGTATGTTTGTGTGTGTGTCATCCATCCATTCATTCATTCATTCATTCATTCATTCATTCATTCATTCATTCATTCATTCATTCATTCATTCATTCATTCATTCATTCATTCATTCATTCATTCATTCATTCATTCATTCATTCATTCATTCATTCATTCATTCATTCATTCATTCATTCATTCATTCATTCATTCATTCATTCATTCATTCATTCATTCATTCATTCATTCATTCATTCATTCATTCATTCATTCATTCATTCATTCATTCATTCATTCATTCATTCATTCATCATCTATTCATTCATTCTTTTTCCCAACTGACCAGTATAAGATCTTTTCGCTCAATAGCCAAGTTCTTCAAATTTTGCGGTAAAACATTGGCATAATCATCATCATCATCAACATTATTATTATTATTATTATCACGTTTTCGGCCATCTTTTTTGGCAAATAGGCGATCGATGAAGACGAAATTTTTGGTACAATCTGTGACCTTTCGGGGTTCGGGGTAGGTAGGCGTAGGTCAAGGTCGTTTTTCACTATCATCATCACCACCACCACCATCGTCATAACCATCACCACCATCACCCACCATCACCCACCACCACCATCGTAACCATCATAACCACCCACATCACCCCCAAAACTAACCAGACTAACCTCAGCGATACAGCCTAGTAGGTGCTGTTGAGTTCCAAGGTCCATTGATTTTATCTGTTCAAGTACCTTCCTGCGGTTATTGCACTGAACGGCACAGCCCAGTAGCAGTAGTAGCGTTTTACTTAACTGCTTTACCGTAGTATTTTCTGCTGTGGTAATTTTGGTAGTATTAGCATTGTAGTTAGTATTTTCACTAATAACCTATTTCTTCTAACAATTATAAAAGTGATAAGAGGTGGTCGTACTAGATAAACTTTTTTGGTTTTTTTCTCGATCAACCTTATAATTTTCTTCTATTTATGTCATTATTTGTTGCATAAACTATTTTAGATTATTGAATAAAGGAATTTGATTTGCTTTGATTTGATTAATTCATTTTTTAAGAGTAAACACTCAGAAGTTTTAACTGAGGTCTTAACTGCACATACACAAAGTGTCAAAATTCGTCGCCTGCTTCTTAGCGTGTGTGGTAAGAGAACGCGGCCACATCAAGGGCAAATCTCAACTCTTACAACGTTTTGTCGCAAATTGTAATTACGATTACTCTCATTATTATTCTTTGCAGTAATAAAAGTCGTAGTAGTAATAATGGAATAATTTTAATGGTTAGTTGCAGGTGTAGTAGCAGTAAAATTATTTTCTGTAGTAAAAATAGCAGCAGCAGTAGTAGTAGTAGCAGTATTATTATTATTATTATTATTAGTAGTAGTAGTAGTAGTAGTAGTAGTGGTAGTAGTAACAGCAGCAGTAGTAATAATAGTAGTAGTAATAGTAGTAGTAGTAGTAGTAGTAGTAGTAGTAGTAGTAGTAGTAGTAGTAGTAGTAGAGGTAGTAGTAGTAGTACATTACAAAAAAAAACCTGTAAAGGGTTGATTGCATATTAAGAAGATGTCTGGCGGCTCCATGAAGATGACGATTTCCAGGGTATCCTTAATGATAATAACGTGGCTCCATTTTGAAGTTGTGTTCAATTCATCATTATTTATTTATAAATACATTTTATTGTTTTAAAGTATTATTTATGATGATGATGATGATGATATTTATGATGATGATGATGATATTTATGATGATGATGATATTTATAATGATGATGATGATGATATTTATGATGATGATAATGATGACAGTAGCGGATCCAAAAGGGATGCGAAAATAATTGGGAATTTTCTGGATAGGCTACTGGAAGATGGTGATAATAACGACGACGACGACGATGATGATGATGAAAATAGAAATGATGATGATGATGATAACGGTGGTGGTGGTGATGTGATGCTGGTTATGATGACCTGATAATATGAGAAAATTGCATTGATCAGTGACTTCCACAGCTCCACCTGTATGTTCTGCTCTGAGGATTTCCTCTCGAATTTATCCAAATATTCATATTTCGAGTTTCTAAATCCGGAATAACGTTAATAAAATATTTTTTATAATAATTGAATTAATTATATTCCCCGTCTTACTTACATTTTTTTCATGATGTCATTCAAGAAAATTCCATCTACTAAGTCTGTCCATGTCATTTCCCGTCCAGTAGCATCACCGAAGAGTTGGGCCTTTGTTCGACCGATGGAAAATTAATTTATAAATAATAATAATTATGATAATAATAATAATTATTATAATTATTAAAAATATTATTGTAATAAAACTTTGCGGTTTCATACCCATTTTAAAAGAGATGCGCTTGTCTGTTCATCCATTTTTCCAACAAAGTATCAACTGCTTGTACAGAAACGAATGAATGGGAAAATGAATGGATGAATGCAGGAATGAATGAGCCAAATAATGAATGAATGGAATGAATGAATGACGAATGAATGTGTGAATGAATGATTGAATAACCAATATATGACCAATGAAAGCCGAATTTAACTAATTATTTTCTTGTAAAATGAAATGTATTTAAGAACCACTAATCTCTATCATTACTAAGCATCAGACCGCCTTTATATAGTATTCTCTCTGATGATAAGTTACACATACATACACATACACACACACACACACACACACACACACACACACACACACACACACACACACACACATACATACACTACACACACACTATCATATATCTCATATATCATTTATATGTATACTATATAAATAGATAATAAAGAGTAATTACACGTGTACATACAGAAGCTTTAATATGTATCATACAATTCTATGTGTATGGTTTATGCACTATGAATATTTATCTATTATTTCTATTGCCATCCCTATTATTGCTTAAGTTTACTTTTAATTTAAAAACAGATTTAAATGTCCCAGATCGTAACGCGATGCCACACGTATTTTAAAGGGTTTTTTCCTAAATAATTTTTTAAAATAAAACAAATTAGGAAATTATTATTTTGTTATTTATATTTAAAAAAGTTTTTGCTAAATGAGGTAATTCATGCGTGAAAATGGTAATGCATAAATAACTTATATTAAATTATTATATATATATCTGATATCACCACCTAACCACTAACAAGTAAATAACTAACCGACTATTAGTGCAACTGCAAAAAAAGTCTACCTAGACAACAATGCAACGACGCCACTAGATGATGAGGTCTTGGATGAGATTACGTACGCGCTGAAGTATGGCTGGGGCAACCCAAGTAGCAGCTATCAAAATGGTTCTTTGTTATTACTTCATGCATATATAGATCTACTATACTATGATGAATGATGACAGAAAGAGAGAGAGAGAGAAAGAGAGAGAGAGAGAGAAAAGAAACAGAGAGGGGATAGAGAGAGAGAGATTCATTTATATATTTTTTAAAAAGTATTATTTAATTAATCAATTTATTAATATTACTCAATGGTTTCCACTTTTCTCTCAAGGAGTTCTAGCTAAGGATATAATATCCAGATCAAGACACAGGGTAGCTGAGATGATAAATTGCAAGCCTGAAGGTTTTTGCATAATTTATGTTGACTATCCATTCATTTTTGCATAAATTATGTTAATTATTTATATTCTATCATTACTATAATGTAGACCCATGGCTTTTGTAATTTGCATACACTTTTTTCCCAAGAGATTATTTTCACATCTGGAGGCACGGAAAGTAACAATCTGGTAGTACATACTGCCATCACTCAGTTCAACAATCATCATCAACACCATCAACATCATCAACATCATTACCATCATCATCAACAACAACAACAACAACAATCACATCATTGTGAACAAGAACATCTTCAAAAAGTTGATGAAACGAAAGATGAAATTGTTGATAACGATGATGATAGTGATATTAAGGATAGTAATGAAAATAACAATAATAATAATAATAATAACCCAGCGAAAACCAAAATTCCAAAATTATCAAAATCAATCTCAGACAGTCCAGCGTCCAATCCCCACCATCAGCAACCTCCTTCTCATCATCAACATCACCATCATCCTAGCAGTCCATTAATATCATCATCAATGTCTGCGGCCACTGCGGCAGCTGCAGCAGCTGCAACACAAGAGCCAGCAGTCTTCAAATCATTACCAATGCCGTTAGAACCGCCAATAGCCAAACACCATTTACCAGCGTTTCCTCCACCCATCCATCATAGCGTTGATGAAAAATCCTTAATGTATTCAAAGAATTTTATTGGTGAAAGTGCAGTTCGCTGCCCCACACCCCACCTAATTGCATCTGAATTAGAACATGACTCTATCAAACTCGTCATGAGGCATTATTGTGAAATTGGCCAGGCCAGTAAGTAAGATTATATACAAGTAGTATGTATGAATACATGCAACATACATGTATGCAACACATACATGTATGCAAACACAAAAACATACAAACTTTAAAAACATACTTATGTACAATTTTTATTGTACATACGTACATACGTCTATACATACATACGTACATGCGTACGTACATACACACATACATCAACAAATACGCGTTTTTTTCAAAAAACGCGTCAAACAAGCTTATGTTCGGCGGAGATCTCCTTGCTTTCAAACCCGGTCATTGCGACTCACGTAGATGGACACTTTACCACATATCATTACCTGGTATAAATAATAAATATATAATTAATAATGATATATTTTTGTAGAAATAAGTTTCATAAAGACGTCGACGAAAGACGGTTGTGTTGATGTTGATGAGTTGTTCTCAAGTATCACGGATGATACATGTCTGATATCCATCATGATGGCTAATAACGAGACCGGTATCATTCAGGTTTCTGCTAACGATGATGATTGTGATGATGATGGTGATGATGTGGTTGCGATGATGATTGTGATGATGACAACGATGATGATGATGATGACGATGATGATAACGGTCTTGTTATAATGTGTGTAGTTTTTACGTTTTAGGCTTTTGCAAATTAACTTGCAAATATTTGTAACTATCTTACATAAATTTACAACAGCCAATAGGAGAAATCTCAGTCCGTCTTCAACCAATCAACGAATCGAGGACTAAACTCAATCGACCAATCATCTTCTTGCATACAGATGCTGCCCAAGCCATTGGCAAGGTGAAGGTCGATGTGGAGGAGTTGAAGGTCGACTTTTTGACCATCGTCGGCCATAAGGTTTGTGGGTTTGTTTTTGCTGATTGGTTGATTGACTGATTGATTGACTGATTGATTGACTGACCGATTGATTGATTGATTAGTTAGTTAATTATAACCATTTGAAGAAATTATTTTTTTCTAAGTTTTACGGCCCGCGTGTTGGTGCATTGTACTCGAGGTCCTGCTTCGTCCATCCCATGCTTTTTGGCGGTGGTCAGGAAAAAAATCATAGACCCGGGTTACTTTTATTATTATTATTTTATTATTATTATTTTATTATTATTATTGTTGTTGTTATTATTATTATTGTTGTTGTTGTTGTTATTATTACTTTTATTATTATTGTGATTAATTATACAGGACTGAAAACACGGGTATGATTGCCGGTTTAGGAAAGGTTAGTTATTACTAGTTATATTTATTTATTTTTTGTTATTATTATAATTATAGTAATAATAATAATAATTATTATTATTGTTTTTATTATTATTATCATCATCATCAGGCTTGCGAATTAGTTTCAAGGAAGTTGACTGTGTTCAGTGATCACATGAAAGAAGTTAGGAATTATTTGGAAGATAGATTGGAGGTTAGTCGGTTTATTTTTTGATTAGTTGGTTGATTGATTGGTTGATTGATTGATTGGTTCATTCATTCATTTATTCATTCATTCGTTCGTTCTTTCGTTCGTTCATTCATCTGTTTGCGTATTCAATCACATTCATCCATCCTTTTACCGTATGATTGATGTGACAAAATAAACAATACCAATGCATGACTGAAGGAATGAACGAATGAATAAGTGAACAAATGAACAAACACATGAATGAATGAATCGACCAACCAATCAAAGGAAACCTTTCCAAATAGCATACACTTCAATGGCCGAAATGACTTCAGCCAGAGATTGCCAAACACGTGCAACGTGTCAATATTGAAGAACGGATTGAAAGGTTAATCATAAAAAAAATTCATAATTAAATAAATATTAATAGGAATATTAGTAATTGTTATAATAATAATAATAATTGTTATTATTTATTATTAATTATTATTATTATTATTATTCTCCAAGGTCACGTGATTTTGTCAAAGTGCCAACACCTGGAAGCCAGTGTCGGGGCCGCTTGCCATTCCAATTTAGTGGACAGGTGACAACTAATAATAATAATAATGATAATAATAATAATTTCATTCCTTTATTACCCCCCCCCCAGGCCATCGTCAATCCTTCTCTCTATCGGGGTACCTGAAGACGTTGTACGCTCAGCCATCAGGCTGAGCGTTGGAAGGCAAACTACATTTGAAGATGTTGATGTCGTTGTTGGCGATCTAAAGAGAACTATTGATGATGATGACGATGATGGTGGTGGTGCTTCTGGTGGTGATGGTAATGATGGTGCTGGTGGCGATAGTGTTAGAGTTGATGATAATGATCGAGGAAAGGACTTAAAAAATTAAAATTTCTTTAAAGTTGCACTCTAGTTGCGTTTGAATAAGTTACGCGGTGTATGTTTTGCCTTTCAATAAGTTCAATTTTTTTTTTTGGTAAAAGTACTTTTTATTCTGACTGAAAACGTATTTTGTGTTGGAATCATTATCGTCATCGTCGTCGTCGTCGTCATCATCATTTTCATCATCATCTTCTTCTTCTTCTTCATCATCATCGTGTTTTTAGCAGCGCTAACGTTATAATAATTGATGCTAACATAATCCAAAATTTATCGAGTCCCAAATCTATCAGTTAGGAAGAGAGAGAGTGAGAGAGAGAGAGAAACAAGTAAATATAGGAGAGATGTTGAAGGTGAAAAAAGAGTTGGAGAGAATAATGTGAAACAGAACGGCAAAATTTAAATATGCATTGCATGCATGCATGCATGCTTCTTCGCATTGTAGTATATGTGTGTGTGTATGTGTATGTATGTATGTAAGTAAGTATATATATGTACGTATGTGTATATATATTTCGGAGATGCATGTTAATATTATCCGAAGCGATTTTATTATATGTAAGTAATGTGCTTGTCTATTTGAAGTATATTTCATTCACATATTCATTTATTTATTCGCTTAAACATCAACCAATCTTTTATTCATTCATTCATCTATTCACTCATCCATTCACTCATCCATTCATCCATTCATTCATTCATTCATTCATTCATTCATTCAGACACGTGTTGCATAAAGATAGCATATAGAGGAATGGACCGCACATATTGCTGTTGTTTATTTATTTATTAACTTGAGCAGCGTACATATAAACAAATGCATCTCACATATCCAATACACACACACGCACGCACACACATACATATATACATAAACACACACACCTATACACACACACATACATACATACACACGCACGTACATACATACACACAACACATACATACATTAACTCGGAAACGATTGCATGCCTAACCATGGCTTGTTCATCAAAACGGGTTCATACACACGCACGCACATACATATACACACACACACGCATACATACATACACACGTACATAAGCATCAACAAATGCTTCCCAAGTATGAAAAGGTTCAAGCGAGTAGCATGTAGTACAGATTAAAGGATGAAATTTTAACCTATATATACTTGGTACATACATACAAACATACATACAAACATACATACAAACATACATACAAACATACATACAAACATACATTTGCATATATACTAAAGGTGAGCATGGGAATGGGAATCGCGGAAACTCCATGGTTCCCATGGGAACTGAAATTTTGTCCTATTTTTTGTCTCATTCCAGATTCTCTTTAGAGTATTCTCATTTATGACAACTTTCTCGAAAATACATACATACATACATACATGTACGTACATACATACATACATGTTCGTACATACATACATACATGTTCGTACATACATACATACATGTTCGTACATACATACATACATGTTCGTACATACATGCATACATGTACGTACATACATACAAACAAACGAACATACATACTAACAAAAAACATAAATTCATACATCTATGGCCCATACATGATTTCAATAAATCCCAAGTTCGTTTACGGTTAAATTTAAATTTATTAAATTTGTTATAGAAGTACATTTTCTTCGAAATTCTACAAAGTTTAACAAATAAATTTTCATATTTTATATATGGCAGTTGATCGGAGACTGATTTTGGCCTCAAAATTTTTTTATAAAGTTTATTCTTTGTTGCTGAAGATATTATTAAACCTTTGGTGATCAAAGGTTGCTAAAGGCCATATCAGTATCCAAGCAATTTGAAAGAGGGTTCCAATCAAAAAAATTTATAATACAGATTTAATTGAGAAATATTATATGTAAAGAAAGGAACAACACAAAAGTTAAGTAGGTACGTTCAAAGAAGAAGAGGAAGGTGTGAAGGATGTATGTGTGTATTTTTGTACAATGTGTATATACGTGTGCTGTGTAGTGCATGTATGTATATACATACGGAGAACCATGAAAATAGTTCGCCTTGCTGTTTGGCATATCTCACTTCGAAAAGCAAAAATTAAAAAGAGTGAGAGAGAGAGAGAGAGAGAAAGTGTGAATAAATAATGAATGAAATAAGTAGACGATAACAAAGTTTTGCCTGATTAATTTGAATATCATTTCCTTTCTTCAAAATTAAAAGTAAATCAATTTCGGGAAATCCACCGTTGTCTTTTTGTTTCGATAGAGTTTTTTTTCATCCATCCAACTAATTTTCTATTCAATGATTCATTCATTGATACATTCATTTATCTATTCATTCAATCAATCATTCATTTATTCATTCATTCGTTCGTTCATTCATATAGTAATTAATTAGTTCATTCATCTAACAATCAACTCATCCATACATATGCTCATTACGTTCTCTCTCTCTCTCTCTCTCTTTCTCTCTCTCTCTCACTCTTTCTTCCTCTCTCTCCAAATCCATCATTTTTTTAATCTCTTTTTCTTTCTTTTTTCAACCATTCATTCATTCATTCATCCATCTATTCATCTATTCATCCATTCATCCATTCATTCATTCATTCAGTCTATCTTATCCATGTTACATGTAGATAGAAATTTAAAATAAATACGGCAAGAGTCAGTCTGGCTGACTGAGAAGAAGTTTGAAAAAAAGTTGAATTTTGTTGTTTCAGGAATTAACACACACACACACACATATATATATATATACCATTATACATACATACACATATACATACATACATACACACGTACATCCATCCATCCATATATACATCCATCCATCCGTATATACATCCATACATATATACACATACTTTTATACATACATACCAACACATATGTTTATATATATATATACATTCAAACATACATACATAGCGTAGTCTAGTACCATAAGAAAATTGTTTTATAAACTTCAGAATGATTATAACCATGTTGAATAGCAACGAACCAGCAAGAGTGGAGTGTTGTTGATACGGTAGAGTTGGTTGGACACCTCTTAAACTAACAATAACTACACCCTGAAGTTCGGGTAAACGTGTTCTAAATATTTTAATAGTTTTCATTTTTAATTTCGGATATCTTCTAAAGGAGTAAACTCTCGCCCCGTTTCAACGTACCCGATCCCTCCCTCCCTCCAATCAGCGTGACGTCATAAATCACGTGATCAACAACAACATCATCATCATCAGCGTTCTTTCTAGAAGATTTTGGGCTTGGATAAAATTGTTAAGCTTCTTAATTTTATTTGTTTAGAGCG